CTTAACATATCCTTCTTTACCTCATAACTGAGGTGTTGCCAGGCAGCTGATAAGGTGTCAGGACCTGAATCCCCAGGCAGGGCCTCACAGTGGAGGAAGACTCAAGCTCCCTCCTCAGTAGTCACACAGCTGCAGCCATGCAGGGACTTTGTTCCCCTATCATGCTGAGAAGTGCAGACTGTGGAGGTGCTTGTTGAGTGCCTTTGATAAAGTACAGCAAATTACTACAGACCAGACAAGGAAAAAACTATGCTCACTGATCATATGAATCTTTCTCTCAACAGTCTTAAACTCAGGGTCTCAGGAGCTCTCACTTGGCTTTTTTCATTCAAGGCTGGTGGAGTTCTATTACTTGACCACACACACCTTCACCTCTGGCTTTTGGATGGTTAACTGAGGATAAGAGTCTCACGGACTTTTCTGCTTGGGCTGGCTAGGAATCATGATCCTCAGACCTCAGCCTCCTGAGTAGCTAGGATTACAGATGTACTAGTACCCAATATTTTGGTAGACTGTGTTTATGAAAACATACCTTTCAACACAATAGAGAAATTAGACAAGAGAATGCATTACCTCTCTCTTATTTCTTCATTTTCACAGCATGCTATTTAGTAAATGTTTTATAAATCCACATACATACATACATATCTTATTAAGTAGTTGTACAAAGAGTTTTCAGTTCAGCATTTCAATTGAGGTCCGTTTATGACCTCCCTCTAAGACCCTTAAGAGTCAAGACTCAGCAAAATTAATTTTTGCTGGAGGAACTCTAGAAGGCAAAGCAAAAAATAGAAAAATGTCTCCACGATCGCTCCACGGTTACAATTCATTGTGCCACTCATTGTGGGAAACGAAAATGTGTGTACCTTCCGGCAGTGATTTCTTTTCAAACCAAGAAAGTGTGGTAGATGGGTAAAACCTGGGATAAACCAGGTTTAGATTGGCATGGTAAGTAGAAGCCCGAGGGTTTTATTTATTTACAGAGATGTGTGGTAAAGGAGAATGAACCTCTGAGTTACTCCATTAACAGTTCAGGATAACTGTGGGATTTCCAATGTAGAATCTTGGTGAACTGGAATTGGTTGCTGCATCTCAGCTACTTCTTGTCCCTACTTCCAGTTGCAGCTGCCTTCTCCCAGCCCCATTTCATTTCATTATGAAACTGTCTAAGTAGGAGTAAACACCCAAGCTTCTACTCAGCAGACAGCATGGAGTAGAGGAGGCATCAGGGAACACTGACTGCTTCCTCCTCCTCTTCTCCTTGTGTCTTCTGCACTTAACCACAGGATCCCAGTAAGGAGAGTGTTAGAAAATGTCAGAGAAGATGAACAGGCTTAAAGATTGCAGCTTTCTATCTGGCTGTCAGTGTTTCACCTCTATAATGCTATGAAGATCACGGTTCAAAGACAGCCAGGTCAAGAAAGTACATGATACATTTATTTTCAATTAACCACCAAAATGCTAGAAATCAGATGTGGCTCACGTAGTAAAGCACCAGTCTTGAGTGAATAAGCTAAGAGACAGTGTACAGATCCTGTGTTCAAGTCCCAGTACCAGCATAAAATGAAAACATCAAAGCTTACATCCTTTCTCTCTTTCAGCTAAAAACTCTTTGCACTGCCATCCTCTGTGTGATGCATCTTTATCTGCTTCTTTCCAACATGAGGCCCACTGGGTTTAATTTTCCACCAAAACATCAGGTTGCCTTGTCTTAGGCTTGGAGGTCTCAATGAGAAGGCATTGTCTATCTCTTATGCTAGATTTTGCTAGTTTGGATCAAGAAAGTGATGATAAACCTGGAACACTACCCCACTTAGACCCATCTGTCATTCATTCATGCATGCATACATTCCTTAATTCATTCAAGGAATATAACATGAGGGGCTATATGTGAGTTGAGGGTTGAGGACCTGGAGCAGGAGCTTAGAACCAAGCATCCAGCCCCTCTCCTTGTGCCTTTCATTCACAGTGTGGTGGAGAGTCAGAGACACAGGCTGGAAATAAATAGGTGCATCTCAAATAGGAGTTCATTGAACTCCTGTTGTGCCCATGGAACCGGATCAAATTTCAAGAGGATACCAGGTATTACTGAGCTGCTTCCTGTCCTCCAAGCAGTTCAGATTTTAGTTGAGGAGAAAGGACAGGTATCTCATTTAGCAAAATCTCCCATAATGGGAAGTTTACCTTCATCTTCCTGTTAGTGACATGACATAGACCCTTCCCAGAAAAGGAAAGGAGAGGTGATCCAGGCCAGATTAATTACAGGAGAAATGTTAGAAGAACTAGAAAGCTGGAGAGTTGCTGGCAAGGACTCTGCCTTGTGAGCTGTGTGTGTGCCTAGAAAACTGTGTCTGAGTCTGTGTAGGACACAGTTTCTCCATTTTCCAAATGGAGATGATACCAAGGACTCTGTAGCATATTGAATTTTCCAAAGATAGCCATACAAGGATCTCTGGACACACATTTCCCACACTGCTCCCTTTTTACTCCTCTCACCTTGTGGTAGGGTTGATGTGTCTTCTCTTTGGTCTCCAGGATTATGTTGTGACAGCCTTGACTGACAGACTGACTGTAGTGAAATGGATTATTATATTCCTAGCAAAGCTCTATGATCAAAATGCTAAGCACCTAGACACGTATTGCTGTTGGAATCCAGCCGCCATGCTGTGAGGAAGCCCACACCTATGTAGGAATCATTGAGCCCTGTGGCCCTCAGGCCTGGCTGAGTTCTTGGTAAATGCCTGGGACCAATCCTGACCATGTGAATGACAGTCTTGCAAGTGGATCATCCAGTAAGCCTGGGTTTAGTTGACTCTGCTTGAACACACACCAACCCTGGCCCTTTTATAAGAGGACTTAAACTATCGTTATTGTTTGAAACTACTGGGTTTTAGGATTGTTTTCATGAAGTAATATATAACTGAGATGCTTGTCATAGAAAGTCACTAAGAAGAGTCCATGAAATAATGCCTGTAAATCAGCACGAAAAGTAGCTTTCCAGTAATGATAGCTTTTAAAATAATTTGTGTTACTAATAAGTAAGTTTTAATAGAAATCATCAATAGTATCCAGTAGGTTTTAGGGAACTTTATTTGTTATTTGCAAAACCCTATTGTGTGTGAGCTTCCTGGAGGTGCTTTCTGCCGAGATTCTGCTGAACTCTATGTTCTTTACTGGGTCAGAAAATTATTTGGTTTTCTTTTTTTGGGTCCGGTTGTGGGGCCTGAACTCTGGGCCTGGGCGCTGTCCCTCAGCTCTTCAGCTCAAGGCTAGCGCTCTACCACTTGAGCCACAGCAGCACTTCCGGCTTTTTTCTTTTTGCTTATGTGGTGCTGAGGAATTGAACCTAGGGCCTTAGGCATGCAAGGCAAGGGCTCTACCACTGAGCCACCTTCCCAGCCCAATTACTTGGTTTTTAAAGTCTTTTTTTTCCCCCTTTTGTTTTTCTTTTCTCTTCTTTGTTTTCTTTTTTGATTCTCAGGAATGATCTATATATTGATCAACATCTTATTTTATCTGTTCTTTGCAAAAACATAACGAGGAGCTATATAAGTACTCTTTATCCCTTTAACTGCTGTGAATTGTATACTAGAGTTTGTATCTGGAATGTTGTATAAGGCTCATGTGTGAAAGGCCAAGTGACAAGTCAGAGGCACTAGGAAAGAGAAGTGGAACCTTCAGGAGGAAGAGCCTGATGGAAGGGAAGGTAGGTCAACGGTGGGGCAGGGGGAGCGGCTTGCTCTTGAAGTGGATCCTGGGATCTTGGGCCCTTGTCTTTTTCTCTCCTTGGCTATGATGTGTATACTCCCACTATGGTGGTACTCCTTGCCACAGACTTGAAAGCAAAGGGCCAAATGACCCTGAACTGGAACCTCTAAAACTAAACTGAAATAATACCTTTCTTCTGTATAAGCTGATTCACCTCAAGTATTTGTTTTAGCAATGCAAAGAAGACTAAGCTGTTAGACCACCCAAGTGCATTGTCCTTCCCTTATTCACTGCTAGACATGGAAATTGTTTTTAATTCCACCGAAAGAAGCATTCGGTAATTCATATTTTTATGTATTTAACCCAAACGGGTTATCCTGGACTCTGAATAAAGGCCCTGTTGAATTTGTTCAACTTTATTCTAGTAAGTGAATTGTTCTCCACACAGGTTATGCTAATTTACACTTCATTTAGCATTGTGTATGTGATCTTGGTCATTCCATGTGTTTTTGTGCGCATGTGTATTCTGAGACTGGGCCTTGAACTTGGGACCTTAAACTCTCTCTTGGCTTTTACACTCAAGGTTTGTGTTCTGTCACTTAAGCCATACCTCCACTTCTGGCTTTTTGATGGTTAATTAGTCATCAAAGACTCATGAACTATCCTGCTTAGGCTCACTGGGAAACCCTGCTACCTCAGATCAGCCTCCTGAGTAGCTGGGATTACAGGCACAAGCCACCAGTATCTGGCTTATGCCATATTTTTGTTGATGCATGGTATTGTTATATTCTTTGTGCTTTTCTCATTGGAAGGGTGAACCTGGCATTTTATTGTATTCTACCTTCCTTTTTGCTGATGACTAGTGAGTCATGTTATCTATCATATTGGGAGGATCTTTGAGACCATCCACTCAACATTACCTCTTAGAGATGCCAAAACTAAGAGTGAGACTGTTTCCTTATTTCCTTACTACTTTTTCTTTTCTTTCCTAAGGAGGTTACATTTAACTTCCTCTGCCCCTTGTTGTTCTAGCCTACTGAGTTCAGCATCTCATGCAGTAGTAGAAGTGTTGGGTACAGGCAGCAAAGGTGGAAAATTACAAGGAGAGAAAATGATGAAACTTCAACAGCACAGATTTCCCCCTGGCCATCGGTGTTTTTCACCCCAAGAACAAGATTGTTTACCATATTTGTGAGCTTCCTTGTGTTTGACACAGGATCTAGATCTCAGGGAGGGAGGTCAAATGTTTGCAAAATGATGGAACCGACTCTAATGCACTACGTGGCTTACAGGGTCCTCATCGCAGGCTGCAAATACTTCTGAGGCCAAGAAGTATCTCATCTCTGCAGCTGGCACTGCCTTTCCTGCTTCTGCCTGTGGCTGCAGTCAACTGGGAACGACTGATAAGGAGCAGTAAGTATTGGCTTTGTCCTTAAAGGGATGGGTTCCCTAGCACATTTTGCCTGATGCTCTGGAGGTTAGCCCTCTTGAGTGCAGCCTCCCAGAGGCCAGCTGTTGGGACCAGCTAGGTCATGATGTCGTAGTATGGAGTAGCATGTGTACTGGCCCTGGAGGGCCGTAGGACCCTTGCTCATCCTTTGTAAAGCTTCTGGTATTGCAAGACATTATAGGGCTGTGATTCAGCCAGTCTTGTGTTTTCACTACCATCACGCCAATAACTATCTTACCGACTCCCTAATTCCAGTGAAGGAGCCTGACATTGAGTCCCAGGGGGCCTGTCCCATATGATTCCCGTTTCCCCAACACACAGGCAAGTGTGATTGCTTGGTACTTTTCCAAAGATGTGAAATAAAAGAACACATTGTGAACAGAGTAGCATTGTGATCCTTTTTTCTTTTTTTGCCATTCCTGTGGCTTGAACTCAGGGGGAAGGCACTATCTCTGAGCTTCTTTTCTCAAGGCTAGCACTCTACTACTGGAGCCACAGCTCCACTTCTGACTATTTTTAGTAGTTAATTGGAGAGAACTATACTACCTGGGCTTTACTATCTGGGCTGACTTTGAACCTTGATCTTCAGATCTCAGCTTCCTGAGTAGCTAGAATTATAGTTGTGAGCCACTGGTGCCTGGCTCTGTGTTCTATTTTATTCTAGATAATTTGTGTAACTCAAAAAACCTGTGAGCCTGTTTGTTTTACATACAGGGAAACATCACACCTTGATATGAAAATTCCACCACACATCAAAAACTGTTAACATCTTACTTGTACAACTGAAGATTTGAATTATAAATGTTTCTCAGTGATCCTGAAGACACGATCATTTGATAAATCATGGTTCCTTCAGTTTCAATAGAGTCACACATTCTCTCCCTTCCTCTAGTTTGTCTAACTCCTTCCTGTTCAGGTCATAGATGTGCTTGTGTGTGTGTATGTGTGTGTGTGTGTGTGTGTGTGTGTGTAACTGAATCCTTTCCAGAACCCAGTTTAACGCCTTGTGGGCTCTCAGACACTTCTGAAGTTTCATGGTGTCTTTGGAGACATGTGGCTACCGTCGTGCTTTCTTAGAGTTTTATTTGTTTTGAGCTTCCACCTGGAGTCTCCTTCAGCTGCCATGTGGGAGGAGGTATGGGGAGAGCCTAGACACCTGGCCAGGATAGTACTTGTTTCTGTGCTGGTCCAAGGATCGCAGCCTACAGAGTAGCTTGGATTATAGTAGTGAGACACTGGGACCTTCCTAAGAGAAATAGTTGTAAGGGACACGTGTCCTGTCCTGTCCTGAGGCTGACACAGCCTCTCAAGATGTGCACCTGTACCCAGTACTCCAAACTGGCTTGTGTACCCGATTTTTGTCATGACAGGAAAAGTCATACAGGAAGAACACAGAGAACTCTTGATGGAGGAATTTGCAGTCCTGCAAAGAGAAGTGCTGGGGAAAGAACTGCTCAAAGGGTCCCTTCTCTTCACAGGTCAGTTTTAGTCTGCAGACTCATTGAACACTCAGCTCCTTTCCTTGTCCGGGAAGTTAGAGGAACATTGGCTGGGTGCACAGTATTTCATGTATTGTACATCGGATCATTTATTGTATGGTGGTCATGCTTTGAGCAAGAACAGTAGAAAAGGACCCTGTTAGAGATACCTGCTCCTGTGGTTGGATGGATGCTCATATGGGTATCAGGACCATCTGAGTGGCTTTTATTAGAGAAGGAGATCTTTAGGATCCTCGACTTTGATGGGTGATAAGATGCTTTATCTCCTCATGAGTTTCAAAACAATGGAATATCATTGTCCAGATGTTTGAAAATGATGTAGGAGACTTATGACAAGAAGGAAAACAATATGTGTCAGAAACTCACATAATAGCCATGTAAAGTTGGTAATTCTTCCCCTCAGAACAGGTAAAGCAATAGAAGCTCACAGGCATTGAGCTCACACACCAGTCATGTGACAGAACCAGGTTAGATTCAGTTTGTGGCAGGAGGTGGTAGGAGCTGTTGTGTAAGGTGTTCAGAGGAGATGGACTTCAGGAGATGGTGAGCAGCCTGGAGGGAGCTGATTTTGCTTCTAAGTTTGATGCTTCATTTAGGTCCTAGTGCCTCCATGAATTTTTATGTGTGCTTCCTTAGAATTTTTCTGTGTGTCAAGGCTGGGGCTTGAGCTCAGGGTCTGTGTGCTCTCCCTTAGCTTTTCCTCACAGGGCTAGCACTCCACCATGTGCCACAGCTCCATTTCTGGCTTTCTGTGGTTCATGAACATGAGCGTCACAGGCTTTCCTGACCCAATGGACTTCACACCATGATTCCAGATTGCAGTCTCCCAAGTAGCTGATTCTAGACATGAGCTGCCAGCACCCAGCTACAACTTGTATATGTCATTCTCTAGAACACGCTCAATGTTTTAAGTGTTAATGTCAGAATCATAAGAAATGATTGACAAATTTAATATAACGTATATGAAGTCTTAAGTTTAGGTTTTGTTTAAGATTTGGGCTAAAGACGAAGATGAGCAGTCAGCTTCATAATCAGGCAGAAATTCTAGTGCATACACCTCTCCAGAGTGTGGTTTTGTGAAGAGAGAAGGGAATATTTAGCACTCCATCAACTTGATGCTCTTGAACTAGCTGACCAGTGTTGCTGTTTTCTCTATTTCCATTTTCATGATGTGCGCCATTTCACATGGAGTTGATAAGAATCTGGGTTTCAGGAGCTTAGCAGACCATGGTTGTTCTCCTCTTGCCAGAAGACTTTAACATTATTGGTGGCAGTGGCAAATAACTCAGGACTCTCTACCTGCTACACATGAGCTATGCCTCTGCACCTTTGGCTTTAGTTTGTTTGTCAGAGGGTCCTGAACATTTACCTGGTGCCAGATCCAGTCAGTGACCTTCCTAGTCCTGCCTGTGAGTACTGGGACCACAGGCCCTTATACTTTGATATAGACTTTGATATAGAACCTCAGTAACTTTTGTCCAGACTGCTGGTCTTGAACCACACTCCTCCAGTGTCCATGTCCCAAGTAGCTTGTATTACGGTTTGCTCTACTGTGCCTGGATAGTGGGTGACTTTAAATCATTTATTGTAGAGGCGTTTTTTTTTGGGGGGGGTGGAGGGTAGCTGTCTACCTAAGTACATGTAAACTTCCTATATTTAAAGCCTAGATCTTTTCATCATACTGTTTAGCTGAATTGTGTGCTATTGCCAGAAGCATGTCTCATTTTACTAGCAAAATTGAAGTTCAAACCTACAAGAGGCTTTCTTAGTTGAGGCTACATTTGGCTGCCTGGTAAGGCAAAGTCCCTGTGTCCATGCGCTCTCCCATGTACCTGGGTCCTGCTCTTTGTCAGGCATTCTGTTCTTCCTAGTCCTCACAGCATTTGTGATTGCCCACAGCTGGCCAATGGACGAAGAGCAGTTTGGCTTTCCTGCATTTAGTGGCATCTCTTGCCTGACCTGGCTGGTATCCTTCTTGGGTAAGCATTTCCTGGTGTCTGCTACTTTGGCAGAGCAAGAAGAGGAGCAGTATATGTAAATCACTGTGTACCTAGAGGCCAAGGACAGATGTAAGTCATGAGAAACCTATGAGAAGGAGACTTCAGGCTGTGTCCACTATATGTAAGGGTGACAACCGAGAAAACCCCAAGGGCCACAGCCAGTTGTCCAGGTGCAGCAGAGCTGACAGCTTGCAAAGACTAGAAAGTAGTCCCACTTGTGTTGCCTCCATTGTCCAGTAAGTGAATAGTTGCTTATAGAATTGAAGCATGTTGCGGAGGTCAAGTACTAGAATCTTTACTGTATACTTCTTTATTTGCACACTCAATTTAGAGATTGGCCTCTCTCTGCATTTCCCAGGAGGATCCTGATGTAGTTGACTCAAGTGATCCTCATAACCTCGGCCTTCCCAGTAACTGGGACTCTAGGCCTGCACCCCTGCTCCCAGCTCCCTTCATGTAGCTTTACTGATGAAGAAATGGAGGTGTGAGAAACGTGTTGCCATTCTTCACTGCCTCATATCTGAAGACATGATAAACATTCTGAGATAGATCAGACTACCTAAAGTTTATTTACATCCAGTGTCTTTTAGCTGTCATAGCCAATGACTACACTCCTGGCTTCTGATGGTGCCTTGGAGGAATGGTTTCACATGTTTCCAGTTATTTTCTCTCTCCCTCCAGCTTATCCCATTCTGCTAGAAGGAGATATTTGAGCTCAAACATGGCATCTGTCTGGACCTTATCATCACACCTTAAGAGCTACTGATAACTGTTGTCTTGGGACAGAATTCCTTAAGTTACTTTCAGATAGTATAGTTGAGTGAATGAGGACACAGGCTGATTATGATAGTAGCCCATAAAATGCCTAGAAAAAGCCGCGCATCGGTGGCTAACACCTGTAATCCTAGCTACCCAGGAGGCTGAGATCTGAGGATCGAGGTTCAAAGCCAATCCTGGGCAGGACACCCCTTGAGTCTCAGAAAACCTGAATTGGCATGTGACTCAAGTGGTAGAGTGCTCGCCTTGAGCTGAATTGCTGAGGGATAGTGCCCACTCCCAGAGTTCAAGCCCCATGACACACACACACACACACACACACACACACACACACACACACACACACACACACACACACACACACACACGAATTGCCTGGAAAAGCAGGGGTCATCCCTCCAATCCCTGCTATACAAATGCAGTAGGAGGCAATGTCTCATGAGTAGCATGGCCTGGCCTTTTCAATTCTTTTTTATATTTTATTTTATTTATTTTATTATAAAGATGCTGTGCAGAGGGGTTACAGTTATATGAGTAAGGCATTGAGTACATTTCTTGTCAAGCATTGTTACCCCTGCCCTTCTTCTCTCACTATCCCTTGCCATCCCCACCTCCCTCAGTCCTCCCCAGAAGGAAAGTTGTAAATTTCATTTCCAATATACTGTCCTATGAGTATCATTGTTCCAATGGGTCATCCTGTGACCTTGTTTCAGCGATTTGTTATTTCCCTTCCCCTCCCCAAATTATACAAATGTATATAGAAGATTCAGGGTACAGGTGAAAAAAAAAAAGATTCAGGGTACCAAAATCAAGTAGAGTGACAAACAGGGGATATACCATAGGGGGAAGAACATACAAAGGAAACCAAATAATCACATAGTGCATTAAAAACTACAATAAAGGAAGACCTCTTGGGTCCATATCTTGGGGTTCATTTCACCTAGCATCATCTTCTATGGTCATATGTATATAGCTGTTGAGCTTTTCTGCTCATCTGACAAAATAATGCTAGATGTATATTAAGTATTGCATATGAGGGAAACGATGGGGCCTATATTTCTTGGGGTCTGGCTTGCGTCAGTGAATATGATTTTTCCAAGTCTTTCCATTTCCTAACTAATGGTTAGTGTCATTCTTTCTGATGGAAGCATAGAATTCCATTTTAAATATGTGTATATGTATATACATATATATATATATATGTATATATATCACATTTTCTTGATCAATTCATCTACTGAGGGACATCTGGGTTAGTTCCATATCTCAGCTATGGTGAATAATGTTGCGATAAACATATTTGTGCTGGTAGCCTTCGTATGGTTTTGTTTGTGATCATTTGGGTGAATGCTCAGAAGTGGAATCCTTATATATTAACCTGCTCCGGAATGGTCTGGCCTTTTACAAGTGTTTTCTGACTCAGTCTGTATACTGACTCCTTGAAGGGGCAACTGAGGCACAGAAGTCAAGAAACTTCGCAAGGATGTTGTTAGACTTTCCTTGTCTACAACAAGTGACGGAGAGAAACTGTTTCAAGGAGGAAAGGAGTGTTTTGGCTTGCTTCCGGCCTCTTCAGTCCAGGCTTGGTGGTAAGTCAGACATCATCTCATCAGCAGTGAGCAATGGCAGAGGCTGCTTCTCTCATGCAGCCAAAGCAGGCTGCACAGTACAGGAAGGGGCAGGACAGACTTAACCAGTGATCTATTGCACTAGGTCCCAACTGCTAAGTTCCCAGCACCTCCCCAGCTAAGTCCACAAGCAAAGGACCAAGGCAACATTTGCTATTCAACTAGTAACTGATCCAGGGATTTTCAGTCCTCACTCCAGTTGCCTTTCTGCGGTCCTCACACTGTGTGCATTCTCCCCAGCCATGCGGGAAGCACACAGAAACAAGTATAGACCACACATGGTACTGTCTGCATCTTCTCACAGTCCTCACATACCATAGTCCTTACTAATTTATTGGCTGTGTTTAAATTTTGTCAAAGTATGTATTCAGTTTGTTCAAGACCCACTCATGCAGATATCCAATTTAGAAGTAGTGACAAAAACACCTGTATTCAGGTCCTCAGGATGCTGTGGAAGGAGGCACGGGCCCTGTCTGGTTCTTCAGGACTTGCTCCAGAATCGCCACCTTGGCCATGCCTACAAAGCATGTGCTGACATGCTGACACAGGTGTGGATGTGGCTTCCTGCAAAGAGAAGAATGAATTGCCAGTGCCCTGGTTGGTGAGTAGTTGCATTTGTAAATATTCATGAGTGATGTCAAAGAGGAACCCCCTCAGTGAGCCCAGGCCTGGCTCCAGTGGACTGGGTAGCATCAGTTGCCATACATACTCAGGTTATGAATGAACCAGACCCTTCCTTTAGGACAGAATTTACCCAGGAAAATGTCCTCACTGTTGCACAGGCAGACATCGTAGCTCTTCCCTGCTATCGGAAGAGAAACAACCCAGAGAAAGGGGTCACAATTTGGAGAAGTGGCGTTTTACATACTTTGTAGGTTTTCAGGAGCTCTGATGGGAGCTTCAGTGGGAAACAGAAGGGAAACAGAGGACCCTGTCTGCTTTGGGCCCAATTGTTGGTATTTTCTGGCATGTTTAGGTTGAGAGAGTCATGAGAATGTGATGAGAAGAGCACTAAGAATTCTGATGGCCTGTGGTGTGATGGACATCTGGCTGTCACTGAGCCGCCACACTGAGCCACAGCTGCAAGGAAGCTGAGTGCACAGTGAGGCCATGTCTGAAGAAGGTGGGCCAGCCTCCCCACCTGCTCCCCACCATGCGCTGTCTAAAGTGAGGCTTCTCCTGTCTTTTTACAATCTGCTAACCTGGCTTGAGGAGAAAGGGCCTGTCTTCAAAGAAACAGACGTTGAAGGTTCCATTTCAAATCTGGATCCCTGGAGAATGTACCAAGTGGAGGTGTCAGCAAGAACAGGTTCCAGAAAGAGTCAAATCTGTTTGTGCAGAAGCTCTGGGGCCAGGTCTTTAGAAGGAACTGGCTGCAGAAAGGAAGCTCATCCTGCACTGCCTGGTGCTGGCAGAGGTGGTGCAGAGGTGCTGCTGCTTGGAGCAGTAGGAGAAGAAGCAGTGGGTACCACCAGCACCACATGACAGTTGGATGTTCTTGGCTGTTTGCTTCCATTCTTACCATTAAACATGTTGGAGAAAGAGGATGAGTATGCCGCTACCAATCGTGGGAGTGAGATTTGGAGTTGTGTACAAAGAAAGTCCATACCATGGTGGAGCTGAATTGCTTGTGCCATACTTCTGGTTCCATTAGTTCTTCCCCACCATCCTAAGAGGTGGACAATTGTCACTGGTATATTAGCCTTTGGAAATTAAAAATGGTTAAGTCTATAATGGTATAAAATAATAAGCACAGATATATCAAATCAATGTCATAGGCCTGGATTCTACCTGCAGCCCTCACACAGTGGTCACTTCCTCAGAGCAGGCAGGAGGAGTCAGGGACTGTGTCGTCGGGATAGATGGCAGGATCAGCGCCATGGTCGGCAGGACCAGTAACATGGTCCTGGTGATGGAGGTGGAAACCACATTGGAGGGTTACCTCAAGGGCTTCTGTTGGGTGGCTTTAGAGCAGGAAACCCTGGCCTCTGTTTCCCATGAAAAAGCCCCCACCATGGCTCCTAGTCAGGCTGAATGCATAGACCTCCTTGGCCCTGCATGCACGAACCATGCCAGTGAGCATAAGTTGCCATCATCAGAGTCTTGGGCACTGACTGTGACATTTTTGTTTTCAGTCATGGGGCCTGAACTTGGCCTCTGTGCTGTACCTCAGCTCTTCAGCTAAAGGCTAGTGCTCTACAAATTGAGCCATAGCGCCACTTCTGGCTTTTTCTGCTTATGTGGTCCTGAGGATTCGAACCCAGGGACTCAGGCATGCAAGGCAAGCACTGTACCACTGAGCCACCTTCTCAGCCCTGACTGTGACATCTTGAGCAAGGGAGATGGTGGACCTAGTGAAGGAGCAGACAGGGAAGGGCACACCTAGGAATCTAGGGGCAAAGGATGCCAAGGTTCTCCCTCCCCTGCCAGGATCCCCGTGGTGGAGGCGCCTGTCCACTTCCCTGTTGCTTGAAAAGTGAAGGCCTCCCATCTCCACTTTTCTCCACATCAACCAACTCCACGTCCAGGCTGCTCTCACTCTAACTCCTCTTCCCATGCGCAGTGGCAGCAGAAAATTCTCAGCCCTAGGAGCTGAGTGGTGCCCAATCCACTGTGGTAGCCCGATCCCTTTGTGCCCTTTCCACCTCTACCTCAGTGAACATGGTGCAGAAATCACTGGCTCTCCATGCCCACACTGGTCACTCCATCAGCCCACCAAATGAGCCCAGAGATTGGCCTCAAATTCTCTTGGATCCCAGGCTGCCACACTCTCTGACTCTCCAGAGGAGTAGAGAGCTGAGGATACAGGACACTGAACAAACTCCCCATTCTTTTCAGCTTCCCATCTCTCACCCACCCTCTCATTCGCACACAGACCTTGTGGCAGGTAGAGCTCCAGTATGCGCATGTGAGGACCCATATGAATGAACACAGACGTGTGCCATCGTGCCTGTGTGGATGAATCTGTGTCTATGTGTCCATGTGAGGTCATGTGTGTACCTCTCTCAATAGGTGTGTTGAACAAGGGAGTCTCTCATGGGTAGGCTTCCAAATAGAGAAGACCTCATCTGTGTGTGCACTTGTGAAATGCTCACCCCCACATAGAGCTCAGATGTTGCCTTTCCTTTTTCTTTGTCGTTCATTGTTGGCTTGCATGGATTTGAGATAGAATCTCTTGCCTAGTTATCCTCCTTGAACTTGGTATCCTCCTCCTGGAGGCTCCTACTACAGGAAAGAGAGGCCTAGGCAAGGACAAGTGGTTTGCAGTTTATTCTCTGTCTAGACACCATGTGCAGGGACTGAATCTCTACAAGAGTGCAGTGAAAATGACTGACACCAGCTGTAGGGTTCCCAAGCATTGGATAGATACTGGGTCTTATTCAGTGTATGATTTGCTCAAGCAGGTGCTGGGTGGAAGCACTAGGAATGAATGGGTGACTGGGGGAGGCAGGCAAGCTCAGGCACTTGTACATGAGGAGACATTTAAACTGGTAGGAGGGATCTGGTGGGAACTCATTAAGTGTGTCCTCATAACCATGACATTAACTAGACAGAGGACAGTTGGTTGTATATGTGGAGTGTGTCTAGTTTGGCTCCTGCCCTGCCATGGGGCCCAGCTAGCACCCAGGGGACATTTGCAGAGGTCTGGTCTGAGGCTGAGTTCAGAAGAGGGGACTTCCCTTCATTGATGATGATATCTCCAGAGATGATGTCACAAAGGGCCAGCAGGAGTTGGTGCTGGTTATCAGCTGAACCAGCTGAGCTGTATGGAAAGCGGAGGGACAGCAGGATGTTCTCCTGCTGTTGCCCGCTATTCCACAGAACAGCGCCACAAAGCGAGTTCGATATTGTTCGAAGACGCTGGGTCATCCCTTGTCCCAGTCGCCTGAGAAGATCTACACCATGTATCCCACGGGTGAATCAAGGAAGAAGGAGGGTGTGGAGGGAGGGCGAGTCCCCTAACCTACTACCTTCTGGCAGCCTCAGATGCCATGTGTTTACATTCTTGAGTGGGGTGTAAATACATGAGTTTGTGTGTATGTGTGTGTGTGTGTGTGTGTGTGTGTGTGTCCCCAGGTTATTTTCATTGTATGGCCCTGAGCCTTTTCCCAGTGTGCTGCTGTTTCTATGTTTGAACTGTGTCTCATTTCTTCACAGCAGTTAGAGTGGGTTTTAGCCCCCACCCTTCCTGATCCCTGCAAAGCAGGATACCTGCAGGGAGGCAAAGTGGAGAAGCTAGTAGACCACTTAGTGCCTGCCCTGCTCTTCGGAGATGCTGTGTTTGTCCCAGTGTTTCTGGGGACATACCGCACTTTCACGACTGCCCATCACGTGTTGAACCTGCTGTTCAACAGGTAAGTGCCACCTCTGATCCTAGGGATGGGTCCATTGGCTAGGCCTTGGCATGTGCTGCACCAGTAAGGATCTGCTTGGATCCTGACTACTGGCATGCTAGGAGCAACATCCTCACTGCCTGAGGCTGGAGGGGTGGGATGGGTCCTGAACAGGCCTGTCCACATCATGACCTTACACACTAGGGAGCGCAGGGATGTGGGCGGAGCTGGGAGAAGCCCCTCTCTCATGAAGAACTCCTCTCTACATCGAGGCCTCCTATGAATAAGACCTCAAGAAAAGCATTTTCCAAATTGACAGTGGTGGTTGATGTTCCATCTGGGCATCTTGACCTACCTGAACCTCACTCGGAAGCCCAGGGGAAACACTGAGAGACCCCATGCCCATTGAGGTGTGTGTGGGGGAGGAAGCTAATGGGCTCATCATCTTGTGTGGGGATGCATTTCCAGATGCTTGACACCACTCAGTGAAAGAACAGGGAAATCCTTGTCATCCTGAGCTCCATCCTGTGCTCAGAGAGACCACTGGGACTGTAGACATCATGTGCAGACACAGTATGTTTGACATTCTCATGGTGTCCCCTAGATACAGTCATTTCCTTGAATATGAGGAGGAGAAGGCAGGCGCGCAGGAGCACCTGCAGCGGTGAGTGTGCCTGGGGGAGGAGGGAGGGCATGTGTCTTAGGGGTGGTTGCAAAGAGCTGGCTTTGGGAGGCCTGGGCAAAGGGAAATTGAGATTCCTGAGGGGAAGGCTCAAGTCCAGGTAGAAATGTGTCCCTGCAGAGATTGTGTGTGCTTGTTGTGTGCCTATGGAGGGTGGGAGAAGCCTCTGGCATGTGACCAACCCAGTCCCATTTGCCTGCCGTGGGAATCCTCAGGACCACACAGAACAGGGAGGGCGACACTGGGCCATCATGGACAATCCCCTGAGATTCCAGGGGCCTCAGTGAGTGCTCAAGGGCCAGGATGTGCTGTTTGGGTTGAGAGTCAGGACAAGACTGTTGACACCTGGCTCTATGTGAACAGGAGGCCACTAGAGGCCACTAGAGGCTGCCCAAGTGAGGAGATTCTGGGTTCTGGAGATAACAAGCAACAGGACAAAGCACCCCAGAGATGACAGTTTGGGGAGCATGCCCAGGGACACCAGGCGGTGGGTGTGGGTGGGGTGGTTTCATCTGTGATATAGGTCTTGTCGCATCGCTCGTGTAGACAATGTGTGTAGTGCAGCCAGGTGACCAGGCCCGTTGTGGGCTATGGGCATGGGCAGGCCCAGGAGCCCAATTCATACACCTGTGTTTGAGGGGGTCTGAAAGGAGGGTAGGCCCAGCCTCTGACTCTGCTGCTTCTCCCTCTGCACCTAGAGCCTTCTCCTTCATACTGGGCTCCTGGATGAGGGAGTACCCAGAAGACTTCACTGGAGCACCGGACACGTCCTGCCTGCAACACCTGGTAACATATCTACACCTCAATATGCCTGGCTCTGTTGAGGAACAGCAGGCCCGCCTTCTGCTCAGTCAGCTGGAGCACATGCTTCTCAAGAAGCCAGAGCTGGAGGGTGAGTAGCATGGGCTGGCAAAGGAGAGAACAGGTGTGGGATTCCAAGCTTTGTCCACCTGAAGGCAGCTCCCATGCTACCATGGGGCCATCAACAGGACAGCCAGGGAACCTGGATGCCTTGGCATGAAACCTGTCCTGGCAGGGCTTCCTGGGGTGGAGTCCAGGGACTAGGGCTTCTCAGCAGGCAGGGGTCTCGTGGCCGTAGGAATGACTGAGGGGAAGGCAGTGCTGTAGGGGATCTTTGCTTGCAGCTGTTCCACCAACTGCCAGGCTTTATGAGAAAACCACTGTACACCCACTGGATCCAACACCCTGCGTAGAAGCAGTACTACCATGTCAGTCAGAGCTGGAACTAGCTGTAGCCTCAGAGGCCCCCTCAGCTCCAGGAGCTGCAGTGGAGCTCCAACAAGAACCCCATGCAGACGGATGTTCTGACTCACCTCCGTCAACTGTGACCGAAGAGATCAATCCACCTGCAGGTCAGCCAATGGCCCACAGCCTTGCACCATCTCCAGCACCAAGTCTGGATCTTGACCTGCAATACTCAAATGAAGAAAGAGTGGCTGATCCCTCAGTGCCAGGGGCACTTAGCCCAGTGGTAGCAATGGCTCTAGAGCCAGCCATTGATGCACCAATGATGAGGGTATGCCAGTGATGAGGGTATGCCAGTGCCCACTCCAGAAGCCCAGCTGCCTGAAGGCCAGTGTGACCCAATTCTGCAACCCGCCCAAGAAGGAGACGCATCTGCAGTTCAACCAGAGCCCTCCAAACCTATTGTAGTGAGCAGCTCAGGGCCAGAGCTAGAGGCTCCAGGAGATGAAAGCCTGGAGTGTGTTCTCGGTCCATCTGGGGAGCAAGTGGAGTCTCTGGGTCCGTCTGGGGAGCAAGTGGAGTCTCTCGGTCCATCTGGGGAGCAAGGGGAGTCTCTCGGTCCATCTGGGAAGCAAGTGCAGTGTTGCCCGCTTGCTGGAGAGGCTGACTGCCTTGAGTCTGTTGCTGAGCAGCCAGAGCCACCCGTACAGGAGCCTCTGCCGCCCAGCCGGGATGTAGCACCCGTCCCATCTGTGCAGCTGGAAGCTGACACAGGCTTAGGAGGGGACATTCCTCCAGTTACTTATTTTGACCAATACTATGAGCCGCCAGTGGCTGAAGACGCCGATGGTGCTCTGACCTGTGCTGCCGAGCAAGAGCCTGCTGGCCCACCAGCTAGCGAGGCAGACAGGCCTGCGGAAATAGACCCGGCTCCCTGGGAGTGCGTGGAGATGGAGGATGTGCAGATTTCCTCCAGGGGGCCATCCCGGATGTCCATGCTAGAGTTAGACAGTGATGAGGAGACAGCTCGAGTGCTAGATTGGCTGCCCGAAGAGAAGGCAGATCAGTTCTCCATCATGGCCGTCGTAAGTAGCTTGGCAGGGCTGGGCGTGCAGGCTTTCCTTTGCACCTCCACTGCCACACCTGCCTCAGGGCAGAGTCATGCTGACCATTCATTTCATCTTTTCAGAAACTGTTCAAAAGACTCATCCCTTACCACCTTTTGAGTTACGTGTATGTACAAGCTGACCAGGAGGAGTGTCTGGAGCGCCTGGCACCCACTCTGCTTCCCATACTGGAGCACTGTGAGCAGGTCTCCAGTTGTGTGATCACCACGTGCCTCGGGGACCACAGCATGGAGGCAGCAGAGAGAGCCCAAGTGGTGCAGCACTGGATAGAGGTGGCTCTGGTATGAGCAGGAGGGGCCCAGGGACCCTTCTTCCCTTTCCCACTCCCACCAAGTGGCTGCCTGCTCACTCACAGCCACTGCCTAGCCTTAAAGCCCTCCTCCTACTCTGCCCTCACTTGGGCTGTGTGCATTCCTGCCCTGCTTCCACTGTCATTCCCCTCCCCCAAGCTGTCCCAGTTCAGCCTAGTAACAAAGGCCCAGCCCCAGGCCAAGCAGGAGCCCAGGAGTTTCCTCCACAGCTCTCCTCACCCATTCTTCACTCCTAGGAGTGCCACCTACGAAAAAATATCTCCACCTTATTTGCAATCGTGTGTGCTCTGCAGAGCAGCCAGCTCCAAGGCCTGAAGAAGACGTGGAGATTGGTTTGCAGGTGGGTGCACCTTTCTCCTGGGCAACCCTTGCTTCCTCAGCTTAGCGTCCATCTTCTGGGAGCCCAATGGTAGTGCCCCATGGCAGAGACCACAGCTCTATGGCCTTGCCTAGGATTTGCCTGCTAGGTTGGGATTCCTCTTCTGCCATACATTGCACAAGGCCCTTGGGGACGTTTTCCTTCAGAGACATCACAGCTACACCAGTCTGTGCAGTGCTCTTCCAAGCAAAACCACTCTGGGAATTGGGGTGGAGCTGGAGGTTTCCCCTCAAGACTTTGTTCCTAACCATGTGACCTAAGGGTCACAGTGGCTCTCCCTGCACAGCCCTGTGCCCATTAGCATAAAGTCCTGCCTCCAAATGGGAAATCCATTCACACTCCTCCTCTCCCTTCCTCTCCCATCTGTCACCTTGTCTCTGCCCATCGTCCAGGGAGAGAGTAGCTGTCTATCAGGAGCTGAGGAGGATACACTGCCAGGAGCAAGTGTACAAGGTTGTATGAGCCCCGGAATAAGATTTGACCCTCGGACGGAGGCGAGGGAAATTTTCTCTCTGATGGAATTCAAGGAGCATATCCAACATAGCTAGGAGAAGCATCCGTCGTGGGCTTGGGTGGGGGACAGATCGTATGGGGAAGAGGAGGTCCCTGGGGACCCCGTGGAGTGAGTGGAGGAGGCCACCTGGGTGTCTGAGGAGGGTGGAGAAAGTGACAGGGTTGGGTTGTCAAGGTTGCTGCTGAGATTTCCTGTCAAGCTTCCTCCTGAGTGTGGCCTGTGTTGAGGCTGCCTCTCTACACCCCGCCAGCCTGGCACGCCCAAGCCATGCCCTGGCTCTATTTCTGGGTGGCCTTCCCGTCCCAGGAGGGAAGCCTAGCCAGTCATGTGAGGTCAAGATGTCCCTTCAGATCAAGCAGCCCCAGAAACATCTTTTAGGGGATGCAAATGGCCACATCCACCATGGAGACAGGCCTTGGCATATGCTCTGGCCTGCCCAGGGATACAGTGCTGATGGTCACAGGGAGCCTGAGATCCTAGGGCCCAAGCCATGGCTGTCACACCACATTTGCGGCAAGAGGGGACTTTGGAGGGTTGAATGGTTAGAGAAGGAGTATGTTCTACATCCATGCTAACTGCTGCCAGGGGCGAGAGTCCAGATACAAGAGCTTCTGGAAGAAACTCAAGAGAGGCTGCAAGAAGCCTCAACAATTGGTGAGTGTGCATGCCTGAGGCCAGGGGCTTTCTAGAAGGAGTAGTTGAGGGGGGTCCCCCAACCCAACCGACCTGTTGGCCCACTCCCTTAATGCCCCATCACACCTGGCCTCTGCTCAGATGGCATGTTGCAGCAATGAGTTGCAGCCACAGCACTAAGGCCTGCACAAGAGTAGAGGAGCAGGTGAAGGGCAGGGCCACAGACCTTGCCCGTGTGTCAAGTGCCAGCCCTGGAGGGGCCCAGACCTAGATAGATTTCCCCATGCAGGGCTGTGTCTTTGGTATGGGGTAGAGGGTGGATCATTGAGGAATGAGCCTGTCTTGCCCCAAGTTCTGCTAGATAGATGGCTCCATGGGACTGGGGTAAGTCGGGTTCTTGCGAGGAGCTTAACAGGACTCTTCTGATCTTTCTGCACCCAATGCCACAGGACTATCCCGAGGGCACAGTCCCTTACCTGGGCACCGTCCTCACACACCTGGCCTCACTGCACAAAGACCAAGATTCCAAGGATGTGAGTGAACAGGGCCCCAGCCCTGGGAAAGCAGATTGGGGACAAAGAGCCTCTCCCTGCCCCTTGACCTCCAGCAAGAGCCCACGTCCTCCCCAGCCCCAGAGTGCCAAGCACCACAGCAATCCTACTTGTGATGCCCTATGCCCTCAGACCTCAGTGCTGCTGATGACATGGGGCCATGTCTCAGAGGGTGGTGAGCAAGGGTGGCAGTGTGACAGCAGGTGCTCAAGCTAATAGCATGGCCTTGTCACTGGAAGCCTCAAGTCTCTGCCATGTGCACAGAGAGTTGAGCAGTGAGCTCCCTGTCCTCAGGACCTAGGCCTCCCTGCCCTAGACTGAGAGCAATCCTAGTCCAGCTGTGCACCCAGCCTGCCCTCTGCTGGAAGGACTTGGTAGGGCGCCAAGTGGAAACAGCATTTTCTTAGCACATATTCTTTGCTTTGCAGGGCTCTTGGCTGAATGTAAAAAGAAGACGAGAGGTGAGAAAATGACACCTTCCTCTGCAGGCAGCCAGCTGTGCGGGTCCCTTAGGTCCTTCCTTCCCTCTGATGTGGATGGTCACATCACTTGTCCTCCAGAGGTCAGGAGATGGGGCCTTGAGCTGGGGATCTAGGACAGCGTGCTGGGGTTGGGCACTGGATCTCAGTAGAGAAAGGCGAGTGTGTTGGGGAGAGACAAGAGTGAAGCCAAGTGAAGACCCGAAGTCAGCTGCCTGGCCTACCTTGCCCTGGTCCAGGTCCATCACCACTGTGTCCTTTCTCTCAACCAGGAATTCAAGGTGATGGCACTAATGAAGGAGCTAAAGGGCTCATGTCAGGAGCTCCAGGTGGTTCCTGACATGAACTTCGTATCTTGGTTTAACAACATGAACCGCCTAAATGAGTTGGAAAGGTGAGCTGGGGTAGGCAGTGGGGGCAACAAACATGGGAATCCCCAGCACCAGTCCATGAGAGCCTGTTGTCTGAGTCAGCCTCCCACCAGACCTGTTGAAGGAAGGGTGTATGAGCTCCTGAGTCCCCAGGGCCCCTGGGAGGGAACCCCCAGGGTGGAGCCTGCTGTCCAACCAGCTACTTCTTGTCTTAGCTCCAAGCTATCCAGGGAGCTGGAGCCTCCCCGCCGGGTACTTGTCCTGAGCAGGAACAACAAGAGGAGCCCTCCCCTGAGGAAGCGCTCAGGAAAGTAAGTACATAGGCTTGCAGGGCCAGGGACTCCCCAGGGTCTGGGTGGTGGGACAGGCAGCCTGATGAGCTGGGGCTGCCATCCCACCACCTGCCACACAAGCCTTTGTCTGGGTGGTGTGGCCCGAGCTCTGCCCACCTCACTTCCTTCATTGGGGTCCCACGGTGGTCCTCAGAGGATTGGGCATATGGCTCCTTGAAAATGAACAGTAAGGAAGGCTGCCTCAAGCCCAGGGGGCAGTGGGTGTGGGACAGCCCTGTGGTTCAGGGAAGCCCTGGAATTAAGGCAGTCCCTCCATTCAGTTGCCAGGCTTTGACAAGAGAGCTCAGCAACAATGGCAGTTCCCAGTTGGAGACAAATGAGCAGCTCAGCGGTGGGAATGGCAGCCATGCACCCAGCATGCACTTGGGCTGCTCACCCAAGCCTTCTTCACACTGCAACCGATTATTTCAGTCGGCCCCAAACATCTGCATGGCAAAGATGACAGAATATGAGGGAATCTTGCCGTTCCTGAGCCCCCAGCCCTCCCGGAGAGCTGGGCATGGGGCTGTATCCTAGGCTGTCCTTTCTTCAGCCAAGATGCGTGCACTCCAACCAGAGAAAATCATATTCTCCAATGAGTTATGGGAAATGCGTTGCACAATGCACAAAGACTCAAATGTCAGGTCATTTAGATTAAAAACCTATGTGGAAACACTAATAGCGTGTTAAAACCATTTCTTTACAAGAGCAAGGTTTTGGTGGGTGCTTTTCTTTGCCTTCCTTAATGGCAGAGACTTCTGCATATTCTGTTCTAAGAAGAAATCCTTTCAGGCTTTGAGCTCATTTTTTTCCTGCAGAATGAGCAAGAGCAGGTCCCTCTAGGGGCTAGGCTTTCAGTCAGGTGTTCTCATGAACTGTTCCACACGCCTGGAAATCTGAGTGTTGAAATGTCTCCTTTGCAACAGCCATCATCTGTGTGGGAAGCTGCTGGCTCCTGTGCAGGCAGGGAATCCACCTCAACCTGCTGGGAGGGACTGGAGTCACCATGCAGGACCCTGGGGGGAAATCAAATGAGGCCACACCAGACTCAGGGCAGTGCTTCAGGGAGGGAGACACTGCTGAGCTGCAAGAAGAGCTAAACGTAGTCAGACCAAAATCACAGTTCTTCCAAAGCAAGTGCCTGCCTAAAACTATAAGCACACTGATAAAGGGAAACCCAGGGAAACATGTAAAGGAGAAGATACAGATCACAGAAAGCACATCAGTCAAATGCCAGAGCCACTCACAGTTTCCTAAGGGAATATAAACCCTCTTGACTCATCATTTCTTTGAGTTCAAGTAATTCTTCAATAGTTGCCCTCCTGAGCTCTTATGCCAGTTACAGGAAGAAGATATATTATCTTTTCTCCACTACACAGTTGAAGAAAGCCATGGCAAGAGCACTTCCCCTTTGTGTTTACAATACCAGAATTGCAGTGAACAAAATTCCATCTGGCCAAGCAGACACACATGACCAGGAAGGAAAGTGGGGACTATGCTTCGACTCCTCCACAGAGCAGTAGCAAAGGAGCCCAGCAAGAGATCAATAGAGGTTAATGCACTTAATGTTGTTTCAATCCTCTACTGTAAATTACCTGCCAGGTGCTTGTGACTCACATCTGCAATTTCAGTGTCTCAGGAGCCTGAGATCTTCAACCTTATACAACTGAGATACACACTGTCATTCCAGATATCCTTGCAGACTGTTGAAACCTAAGACGGTCAAAATATAAGCTTTCATATCCATGACCATACAGTGGAGTTCAGATTTTGCATGAAAGCTACATTTCATGAAATGGTAAATTCTATCAGATGCAAGAATAGAATAGTCAACCCAACTTCCTAATGGAATCACTGCCCAAATGAATGACCTAACAGCATCAGTGCTGGATGTGATGAGAGGGGAAACAAAGCTGAAGATACAATGTTTCGTTGTAAAGAGAAATGTTTCCTTTCTCCTGTGAGGAGCTTTCAGATAGCTTTCCTTATTTTGTCTTCAAAGATCATTGAGAAAGAAGTATCCTTTTAAGTGGATATTTTGGTTCAGCCATTTACCGGGAATTTCCAGTTTTATTGGATTATAAGCAGCAAATATGTACCACAATTTACAATCTTTTCGTAGAGCTTTTATAAGAAAAAATTTAGTGCTTTTTCTAGCTCTTTTCTAGCTCTTTCCCAGGTCTTGTTCCTCCCCCCCCCCCACCCCCCACCGAGGGTCAAGATGGCCAGGTGTCAGCCAGAAGGATGAATAAACCTACGCCTTACCTGAAAAGAAAAAAGAAAAAATGTATTTGAGATCAATAAAATTGTATATTGCCATTGCATCTACTACAGATGACTTGTTATCCACTGTCTATAGCATACAAATTCTTATTTTAATCTACTAATATATTTGTCATTGAGATAAAATATTTTTCCTAATTTTTGGGGGGGGTCCGGTCATGGAGCCTCAACTCTGGGCCTGGGTGCTGTCCCTCAGCTCTTCAGCTCAAGGCTAGCACTCTACCACTTGAGCCACAGCACCAGTTCCGGCTTTTTTTTTCTTTTTGCTTATGTGGTGCTGAGGAATCGAACCCAGGGCCTCAGGCATGCAAGGCAAGCGCTCTACCACTGAGCCAACTTCCCAGCCCCTTTTCCTAATTCTTATATACTGAGATGTGAGGTTAGTTGTGTCATAATTTGTGTGTGTGTGTGTGTGTGTGTGTGTGTGTGTTGATCCTGGGGCTTGAACCCAGGGCATAGGCACTGCCCCTAAACTTTATGCTCAAGGCTATTACTTCTGGCTTTTTCCTGGTTCATTTTAGATAAGAGTCTCTTGGACTTTCCCACCCAGATTGACTTTGAACTGCACTCATCAGATCTCAGCTTCCTGAGGAGCTAGGATTATAGGCATGAGCCACCAGTGCCCTATATGATGTTAGTTTTTATCATTGTTGGTGACATACCACACTGGTAATTTACTCCCTACTCTTCTCTCAGGCAAATCTATCATATCCCTTCCTAGTTTTTCCTAGTTCAGGTTGGACCAGGATCCTTTGAACCTGCAGTCATCCATGGAGCTACACGCACAGGTGCATGCCGCCACACCTCACCCAGCTTACTGTTTGAGGTAGGGTCATGCTAACAGTTTTATTCAGCCTGGCCCTGAAGTGTGTTCCTCCCAATTGCTGCCTCCCCACTAGCTGGGACTGCATGTGTCCAATCTCATGTTATGTTTATCAGGCATGAGGAAGGGGGAAGGGGGAAGGTCGGAGATCTGTAAGACTCTTTGGAATGTTAGCATACAACCTTCTGAGCTCCATCCAATATCTATGAATACCTGGAACTGAAATTGCTTCAGAGCCCATGTGCTCAAGGCTGGCCACTAGCCTCTGGTGTTACTTAAGAAGCAAAAGGAAGTGAAGTCATGGGGTCCCCATGGGAAGGGTTGTTGGGACCTTGGCTTTGCCATTATGTCGTTTCTGCTTCCTGACCATCACCAGCTCAACAGCTTTGTCATGATTTCTGCCTCCCCACAGGCTCAAAGAGAGGGGGCCAAGTGACCATGGATGGAAATCCATAAAACCTTGGACCAAAAGGATCCTTTTGTCCTTTTACAGGCTTTGGTCAGGTGTTTGGTCACAGCCACAGAAGATGACAAAAGTGGTCGTTTCTGGCTCAAGTCTTTTTTTTTTTTTTTTTTTTGGTCCTCTTTTTTTTTTTTTTTAATTTAATTTTATTTGTGAACATACTGTACAGAGGAGTTACAGTTACATGGGCAGGATAATGCGTACATTTCTTACCAAGCATTGCAGCCTCCTCCTTTGTTTATCCTTCACATCCCTTCCCAGCCTCCCCCCTCCCACCCAATCCCAATCCTTCTCCTTCCCCCTCCCCCCCCCCCCCCCCCCCCCCCCCCCGCACCAACGTTGTAAAGCTCGTTTTGGACATAACAACTTGTACTTCTCATTGTTGCAACAGGTCCACCTGTATCCTTAACTGGTTTTTCCCCATCTCCTCCACAAGTTATACTGACATCAAATATAGTGAAAGCAGGGGTTATACTGTGGAGGAGTGACATACAAAGCAACAAAGAGATAATCTTATAAATGTGTTAGAAACACATGTATGAAAGAAAAAAAACATTAAAATACACATCTAAGGGTTCATTTTCCTGACATCACATTATCTGACCTTTTCCGCTTGACTCATACATATACTAGATATTACAAATAAGGGAAACCATGGGACCTACGTTTCTTTGGGCCTGGCTTACTTCACTTAATATAATTTTTTCCACGTTTTTCCATTTCCTAACAAATGGGGCAATGTCATTCTTTCTGATGGAGGCATAGAATTCCATTGTGTATATATATCACATTTTCTTGATCCATTCATCTACTGAGGGGCATCTGGGTTGGTTCCATATCTTAGCTATGGTAAATAATGCTGCAATAAACATAGTCGTGCTGGTAGCTTTAGTGTGGTCTTTTTTGTAAACATTAGGGTAAATGCCCAAAAGTGGGATTGCTGGGTCATAGGGGAGCTCTATGTGAAGTCTTTTGAGGAACCTCCATACTGCTTTCCAAAGTGGTTGAACAAGTTTACATTCCCACCAACAATGAAGTAAGGTTCCTTTCTGTCCACATCCCCTCCCGCATCTGTTGTTGTTAGAGTTCTTGATTTTTGCCGTTCTAACTGGAGTGAGGTGATATCTCAATGTTGTTTTGATTTGCATTTCTTTTATGGCCAGGGATGTTGAACATTTCTTCATGTGTCTATTGGCCATCCTTCTTTCTTCTTCAGAGAAGTTTCTCTTTAAGTCTTTCGCCCACTTATTTATTGGGCAGTTGTTTCTTTGAGGATTTGTTGTTGGGGGGTTTAATTTTTTGAGTTCCAAGTATATTTTAGATATGAGACCCTTGTCCGTTGTATGGCTAGTAAAGATCTTCTCCCAATCCGGGGGCTTTCTATTGATCTTGCTAGCTATGTCATTTTCTGGCTCAAGTCTTTGAGCTGGTTTTTCTCAAGACATCACAGCTGGTGCTGTGGGATTGGTCTAACTTTTTGTGTGCTACATGTGGAAACGAGGCAGAAAACATAGCTTGAGTAGTCTAGCCAGATGAATCTGCACATAGCTGCCCAGTAGGACTTTCTGCCGTTAAAAACCTTCTGTGATGCTCTGCAACCCCACAACCACAGTTGGGTACTCAACACTGGAGCCATGGAGAGTGGGAATATTTACCATTATTGGACTTGAGCAAATTTCATGTTCATAACCCTATCTGAGAGAAAGGACTTGGATAAAGAATGGGTGGAAGCATTCTTGAGACATTGACCAGAGAGCCTTTAGTCCAGGGTACAAGAGCGTAGGAAATGACTGCCTCCTCACTTGCAGAGGACAAGAAGTCTTCCACAAAGCACAGAGCCACACATTCAGTTTTGTCAGGGTGTCCTTATTTCTAATGGAGATCTCCCCAGAAATGCCATCTGCTCAACACCAGAACATGAACAGGTTCAGAAACACCTGAGGCTCACTTCTTTGATCATAGTGCTTTGCTTTTCTGTCCTCAAGATTGAAGGCTCCTAAGAATCCCTGGGTGTTTTTGAATACACAACAGCTCATTTCAAAGCCCTCTCACCTCCTCTGCCATTTGACTGAAGAAATCCTTTCCCAGCGAGCATCTTTTTCTCTTCGGC